AATAAGGATTGAAGTTAAGTTCCCTTGCTTAAGCATATGTTTTTTTTAGGATTTTTAGTTTTGAGTGAAAAAAAATAGAAAAAAAAAAGTTGCAAAAGTTTGAGAGAATAAGAGTCTACAAAGCTATGAAGATCAAGAAATATGTAGAAAAGTTCAAGAAATCCAAAAATCAAAGACTCAAGAATAAGGCAATTTGCTAAGTTATTATTTATTGTAATTTTCTTTCTAGGTTATTTTTCCGTATGTATGATTGTGAGCTTCACCAAAAATACCTTGAGGTTAAGAAAGATTTCTGGGGATATATTCGGAGGGATGCATAAAACGAATGTTGTTCAAAGGAAGTGGGGAAGTGTTTATGAAGATTGTGAGTATTTAGGATACGAGAAGTTCTTAGGAAAATTTAGACACAAATACATGTGTTGCGGTGTTGATGTAATAGAGAGGCTCAAAATGGATTGTCTTATGCGATGTTGGTAGCTAGGGTTTTAATGTGATGATATAATAATAATAAAATCAGTTTTGCTTGAGGGCATGAAAAAGCCAAGTGTGGGGTATTTTGATATGTGCATATTTAATCATGTAATTCAAGCATATTTCTAAATACTTTTAGCTACAATCATGCTTAGTTTTTGACAAAAGGTACTTATTATGTTTTAAATATATTTTATAGCAGCGAAGACATGCTCGGGACGAAAAGGGAGCAAATAAGGAGCTGGAAGCAGGAAAATGTGGGCTAGGACAAGAAGAAGAAAAAGAAGACTTCAAAACAGAAGACCACGTCGTGATGATCCTCAAACATGACGTGTTAAATGAAAGATTCTCGACCATTAAACTGACTTGGAGAATACGAGATATACACGAAGACCACGACGTGGTGATCCATTATATGGAAACTATAAATATTCGATCATTAGGTCGAATAGGGAGAATTCTAGCTGATTTTCTGAAGAGAATTGCGACCAAAAGCCCTTGGAAACTCAGAAGAAGATCGAGAATCAATTGGTACTAAGAGTTAAAGAAGATTATTAAGATCTCTACCTAGATCCATTCAGTTTGCTAATTATACTCATGTCTAATCTAGTTTGCATGATTTTTTTGTGTTTTTCTGCTACTATGAGAGACTAAAAACCTTATACTTCTGTTTGGTGAAGTGTTGATTTCGATTTATGGATGCTTATTATTGATTTTACTTGTGTTTGATAATTAAACCCTAGCATGTTCAAGTTCTAGTTTGTGTTACTTATAAATCAGATTTTGTATGATAGTTGAGTATTTTTAATTGCATGAATTTGTCACCTAATTGTTTATGATCATTAAATAATTAGAGCTGGGATTAATCATATCTTAGATAAAGTAATTAAAACTAGTTACTTTAACTGTGTAAGAGAGCATAATTATTCTTTAATACATGTTTAATTTAATATTTATTTGAATAGTATCATGTATTAATCGAAGTATTAATTTATAAATTAAAATGTTGTATTATTATTTGTGTTTTAAAAAATGTAATCTTAATTACCATGTTTTCTCTTATATCCGAAAATACTAGTCACTTTCCAAAATCCATTTGAAATTAAATATTTTTAATGTTATTTGATCAATTTATTCAAATTTGTAAATTGTGATTGTGCTTTTGTTATATTATGTTTGAAACTGATTTATATAGTATAATCTTTAGTTAATGTATTTAATTTTTTTTATTTTAAATAAGTAACATAAGTTCAACTCATTTATTTAATAATTTGGATCGAGAACTACATAAATGGGTCAACCCGGTGACAATCCATTTATTTATAAGGTTGGGTTGGGTTGGAAATATGAACCCATTTAAATAAACAGGTTGGGTTGGGTTGATATTTTCAACCCAATTAATAAATGGGTTGAACCCGAACCCGAACCCGAACCCGAACCCAACCCAGATCGACCCATTGTTAGCTCTAATATAAAAAAGAGCAGTTTTCAAGAAAGCCATGTGTGTTCAAAAGCCAGAACAAATCCACTGTCAAAGCTATCATAAGGATTAAAATAATGAAGTTGTTGAAAAGAGATGGTCACGCTGTTGCCTATACAATTCACATTAGACCTCCAAGGGTATTTTTCGTCAAGTTGGCACTTGTAGAAGGATAATAATCAGATGACATTTGTCCTTTATATGGTCAGATGTCAAGTTCAATGCATGACGATTTTGGTGCACTTTTGAATTGATCACGTGACTACAAAGACTACATGGACCAACTCGTAAAAGCAAAAAGTAAAAGGAGAATTCACGCTGGCTGATTTACTCAAATTAAGTCTTGCTGACTTCAACTTCACATCTATCAGCATCTCCTTCTAGCTCTGTTACCTAGCTTCTTTATATAGTTCCAGCCTCAAGAAAATCTTAGCTTTAAGACTCAGATTCAGTCTCAAATCTCCAGCCTCTTGTCATCAAACAACATTCAAATGTTTCTCTCGCTGATTAATCCTTCACGATCGTTTGAACATAAGCTGATGAAGGGTATTTGAGTGCATCACATACATGGAACAGTGGGTAAAGAAAAGGAACAGTTGTCATAAGTCTCATGGTAAATAGTGTGCATATGGGCATTTTGGTCACATCGGGGAAATAAATTACAAAAGAAAAGATGGTGCATGGTCTCTCAAAGAAAGTGTCAAGAAATATGCTCAAAAGTAGAATAAAGTTAAAAAAGACTATGTATGGCTGTTACGTAAAGTTCAAATGTCCTCTTTTAACAAAAACAAGTCCGATCCCATGAATAAAAGAGTGCTTCTAAGTTATCTTCTTCAATCACAACCAAATTCTTTTCAAGCTGACCAGAGCATTGTATGGATGTATGGGTTGTTGATTTAACCAATTACTTCATGTAAAAGACTAAATGCAGGGCTATTTCTGTCATGTTTCGAAAAGGATGTATGCAATCTATTCTCTTACCAGCCTGGTTATTTAGTCAAAGGAAGAAAAGGTTGCAGGTTTTTTCTTGAGCTAGTATGTGAAATGATGAACAAGTTAATTAGGTTGGATTGCTTGCAAAGAGAGACAGGGGTAGTTTGGTCTACCTACATGAAAGGTATAGAATTGTTAATCTCTTGTTGGTTGACCTTTATTTCAGGAAAGAGACATAGGATAATTGCAGCCAAATAAAAAAGAGTTCTTTTAGTTTCCATTAATTGGTTCGTACAATAGAGTCAGAGAGGTATTAAACTTTATAGAGACCATTTCCAATCCATCTTCATTTTCCCCCATAAATAGAATAAAAAATGGAGTAAATAGTGTTTCATCTCCAACCCTACTTCATTTTCTACCCCATTTTTTACCCCGAAAAGTATATTCCTAGAATATTCCATTTTTATAACTTATATATATTGTCAAATAGACCTCTCTACTAATTAAACTCTATATTTATGATTAATTAATATAAATTAGTATATAACATGATATTATAAATATTAAATATTGCATTTAAAGTATAATTAGTAGATAAAATAAACTAGAAATGTATAAAATAAAAATGAGAGAGACTAAAATTGGCAACCAAACTTCACCTCCAAAAACCATTTTTTGAGATATGAATAGTATTCCCCCATATATGGGGGAATACTTTTCATATCTCCAAAAATAGAGGTGAAAATGGGGTAGGGTTGGAAAAGAATGGGGGAAGAAATGGGGGAAGATATGGAGTTTGGGGATGGGTTGGAGATGCCCTAATTCTACCCATCATCTTTTCTGTGTCAATATGGTGAGTACTAAAGAGAGATAGAAAGGAAGAAAACGATGGCTAGGGTTTAGGTATAGGGAGTAGTGATGTAATCCTGTGGAACCTCAATTCAACTTCAAAGATTTCGGAACTGTTTCCTTGTTTAGGGGGTGTTCGGATAAATTAGATTATAGCTTATAGCTTATTAGCTTATTTGCGGTGGGAATAAGCAATAAGCAATAAGCAAAGGGGGAGACGCTTATTAAAATCAGCTTATTTAGCTTATCCCTACCACAATAAGCTGATTTTTAAGGATTCCTATCCAAACACTTAAACTTAGCTTATTGTGGTGGGAATAAGCAATAAGCACTCTCTTTTTTCCCTATCCAAACACTCCCTTAGTTTTTAGAGGGGGCGAGTGCAGGAAGTTCCATTCCGAATACCCCTCGAGGCCACAAAATAATTGTCCTATATTTAACTATTTTATTTATAAAAATAAATATTAAACTCAGGTAATGTGTAATATATGCTTTGTGTTTGAACAATTAATATAATATGTAAAGCTAAAAGAAATAAACAAGCTAAAACATATTGTAAATAAGGTTAAACGGGGAATTTCGAGCCAAACAGAGTTAACACTGGATTCAGGGAAACAAGGAACAGGGCGGGATCGGGGGCGGTCTTTAAATTCAGGAGCCGAGAAATGGGGGAATTTGGGGTCGGGATCCTGGTCACGAGGTCAGGGGAAAAAGATGAATTCGACGGCGGGGGGTAGAGGTAGTTATTTCAGCCTCTTTTGGTCCCCGTTGACATCTCTAATATTATATAGGGAGGGATTGGTGGGTCAACCTTTTTTTGTTTAAAATTAGTTAAAAGGAATATAAAAAAAATTGAAAAGGACAAAAAAGTCATTTTATTATGTGGCTCAAGAACCAATCATGTAAGTTTTAAAAAACCATATGTATCATGTTTGTCAAAAAAAATTAGCAAGATATTAATTTTGTAACTTTTAGTTAACTACATGGATTATTTATGTAATTTTGTCTAATTTAGTACTGAACCATATCAAAATTTCTGAATAAAAAGTGGTGCAATCATATGGCCTTAAGCTTACTAATTATAGTTCATGGACTTGGTAACGTGCATATGCCATTATTTAGAAAAAACAGGTTACTCAAGGAAAAACATTATTGATTAATTATAATACAGAAGACGATACAATAGCAAGATATATGGTCACACAACTACCTGAATTATACATAATTTTCGAAGTCACTCTAGTAATCAAAGTATGGATGTTAAAGTTTAGAAGAGCAACCAGGAACGAGTAGCTTTTGTTTTTTTAAGAGTTTTCTTATCATTATTCCACATCAAAATGTCATTAAGATCTTTAACAAATATATCCATTGCTGCGCTTGGTAAGCTTATAGGAACCATAATTTCATATTCACCTTTGTTGTTTTTGAAAGGTATATAGTAATTAAAGACCCCTGGTAAGAAATCTAGTCCTTCTTTGGCAATTCCTCTATAGGATGCTTTCCCCCACCCAAAATCTATGTCGTCGAATTTAGACTTACTTATGCCAGACATCATATAGGCATGATCAAGATTAACCATAGGTCGTCCTCTCAAAACCATTAGGTCGATCATTGATCTCAAATACTCTTCAGAAACAAGAGCTTTGGCCTTCATCACAAGCTCTAATGCGTAGCATAATGGTTTATGGGAAAGATCTTTGGCTGTTGAAATTGCACATGCTTGGACGAAGCAATTTCCATAATATCCAACAGGAAGAGCAGGGTTGAACTTGGTTCGTGCATTAACAGGGAACATGAAACGCATCTCCGCTTCAGGATCAGGCTGTAAAGCGATAGTACGACAACGCCAAATAGTAGCTGCTATCATCTCAAAGGTTGAGATGTTTTTTAGGTTTTCTGGAACAAACCCACGAATGGCTGACAACTCAGTAGAGCCGAAGAAAAATGATTTTGTATCCATCTCATGCATGGTCAAGACGTTGCCCTTGGTGTTTTTTGGTTTTTCGTATTCATGATGAGTAAACGTGACTCGTGGTGGATTCCTTGCAGAAAGCAACTCCCTTTGCCACACAGGAAACGTTGACGGGATAGATTCACCCTGTGCCATTTCACCCAATGCTGTGAAGAACTGCAGGAATCCTTCTCCATCGCACATGGTGTGGTTGAATCGTGAAGCAATGATAAAACCTCCACATAATAGACGTGTTACCTATCAATAAAAGTTAGTTACACATAGATATCAGTACTTACCGAATAATGATTTACCCTTTTCATGGTAACATTAGAAAAATTAATTAAAGGAAACAATATATGATGGCTCTATCAAATGAGATCTCCCTTTTCATGTTAAAGGTGGAAATTTAGAATGATATAACTTTTCTCTCTATCACCTTATTAATTAGCATTTTTCTTAATAAACAAAAGTAAAATATCATGTGATTCAATATAAATAAAGTAAATTAGAAAAATCAAGCATGTGGTTTGGTTAAATATGCAGATTTCATCCCAATTAAAAAATTTTAAGTCTTGTGGCCCCTTCAAAATTATTTTGTTGCATTTGTACCTAATGTTGATTATCTCCAATAAACCTTGGCAAATTACTTATTTATCTTTTTTTTTCTTCTAATTACGTCCTATTGGTTAGAAAGTGACATTTGCGCCCTTGAATAGAATGAATTGAGTGTTTAAAACTTCTTTTATGATTTTATGTCGTGTCTAATTTATAACATCAGTTTTGGCATGTCCATAATCTACATAACTAAAATTGTTCGGCTCATACATTGGGAGGGATCATAAAAACCTTTTCTATAGTTCCTTATGGCATTACTATATGATTTTGAAGGATTACATGTGACGTTATCTATCATACTCGTCATATATATTGGGTGATTCAGTTGTCCATAATTTGTTAGCAGATGAAATAACACGTGATATATATATATATATATATATATATATATATATATATATATATATATCTATATATATATATATATATATATATATATATATCAAGGTTGTAAAAATCGTTCGGTGGTAGCTCGGCGGTCGACTGACGATAAGCGATTAATCGGACTAGACGGTGATTAATCGGAGATTAATCAGGGACCCTTAACTATTAATAAAATTATTTAAAAAATAAATATTCCCTAAAAAACTAAGTATTTGAAAATTTAAAATTTTAAAATTTTGAAAAATTTTGTTTAATATTTTAAAATTTGAAAGCTTAAAATTTTGAAAATTTAAAATTTTGGTGTAATATTTGAAAATTAAAATTTTTTGAATTTTTTTAAAAATTCTCGCCTATGACCGCCGAGACCGCCAAGGGCCGCCAAGGACCGCCATTGCCGATTTTGACCAATTTCCGCCAAGCACCCTAATCGTAATCGGTTTAAGGCCGTCAAGCGATTAATCGCCGATTAATCGGCCGCCAAGACCGATTTCTGCAACACTGATATATATATATATATATATATATATATATATATATATATATATATATATATATATATATTCATCCTTAAATTGTTTGAGAGTGACTAAATATACACAATAGTCTTGCTATAAGAATATACTTGTGACAAATTATTTAATGGTGACTATTTTTAGTGGGTGACTAAATATAAACAATAACTATTTTATTGTGACTATTAAATTTGTGATTTATTTCTAAACGTAACAATAATCATTGATAAAATATTAAACATATTAATAGAAGTTCTTAATAGTTATAATAAAATAAGTAACACATGATTATAGTTATTTTATGATCACCGTTTAATTGTTTGTATGTGGCTAAATATAAACAATAGTTTAATATAAGATTACACTCATGACTAAAATTATTTTATGGTGATGTTTTAATTTGGATGTATATTTAATACTAATAATCGACACAAAAAAAAAGGTTAAACGAGAGGATACAATAATTTTTTGGTTTCATTTTAATTTTGTATCAATGATAAAAAGTATACAATATAGTTATAATAAATTAAATAAAGAGTGATTTTAAGTATATTATGGTGATAATTATCAAAATAATATTGATACTACTCCAAATATCCCAACATATAGTGATGGTTTTTATCTACATCACTCGCTTTTCATAGGTTATAGTCATCACAATTAAACATCGACATAACTTATCAATAATCACGCCACTTATTTTAACCGCTTTCAATAAAAGAAATAATTGTCATTAGTTGTCTATGGCCATGATTTTTTGGTGTCACCGGGAGGAATCTTTATACTAGTATATATAGTAAAACTTATTGATTAGCATAATATATTTCGATAGAATCAATGAGGAATCTTTATACTAATCAGGGGCGTAGCTAAGCATTCACAAGGTAGGTCCTAGGACCTACATTTTTTATTTTTCAATAAAACAAATATATATAAAAAAAATTCAGGACCTACCTTATTTTTGCTAAAATACCTACACTTTCAAAGTTTTTTCAGTTTCATTTAAATAAGGAACCACGTTGTTTTTTGTTCTAGATTCGCCACTGATACTAACTAGTATATATAGTAAAACTTATTGATTAGCATAATATTCTTCGATAGAGTCAATCATAAAATGAAAAGTGTTATGAAAAAAAAAATACTAATGATGAAAATTCGGTGAATAACAAAAATGACATGTTTTAAAATTTTGGATTATAATCAATGTGTTTATAAAGAATAACCAAATTTATGATGGGTTTTAGGTAAAACAAATAAACTAGAAACAATTCCTAAGTTCACATGCAACCTACTTTGGATCTATGTTTTAACTATTGAACATACAACTTTGAATTGCAAAACAAGAACCCTAGAGGAGAGAGGCTATTTTCGAAAATAGTAAACTAGGGTTTAGGGTTTACATACCTTTCAATTGTTATAGCAAACAATTGACAATCCTCTTGATCTTGATCTTGATCTTCTTGGAAGCTTTAGCACCACAAGTGTAATGCCTCTAATGGAATCACACCCAAACTAGCAAGAAGGAAAGTAGAAGAGAGATGGGAGAGGGAGTATGCAAAATCTCGGCCTTAGGGTTTCTTCAAAAGAAGGAGTGACCAAAAACATGAACCAGGAGGCTCCTTATATAGCTGAGGGATATAGGGTTTAAGGGAAACCCTAGTTATCCTTTGCTTAGGGCCTAAGCAAACCCAAGGGCCTTATCCAAGCCCCTATGGACGAAATTATTAGGGTTTCCCCTAAAGATTTCGTCCACCCTCTTCCAAGGGGGTTCTAGAGCCTTCCACTCAACTATTAGATAATTGCAAACTAGTCCCTGCACCTTATAATTAATTCTTTTAACCCCAAAATCAATTCTGATTAATTTCTGGCTAACAATTAATTAAACATAATGATTTCTAATTAATATATTAATCCATTAACATATTAATAAATCATTTATATATATATTAATTTATTAATCTTATAAATTAATATCTCTCTTTCATAATTTCCTTGTCCAGTTGCTAGGTTGAGGGCAACCCAAAAGGACTGTGCTGCTATCAATTCAAGTACATACCAATTATAGTTATGGGCTTAGACACCTAATCCAACAGTCTCCCACTTGGATAAGTCTGTAACTATAATTGCTAGTATGCCTTCTAAATTTGACCAGCAAATTGTAGCTTCCAAAAGCTGCTGCCGAACTCTGACCCAGTCAGTTACGTGTCCTAAGATAAGTGATCATATAATCCTTCGTTCTGCTTGATATCCCCAGACAAAAGACATGGAATGTAATCAATCTGTTTGTCCAGAATCTATGTTTCCCGATTCCTGATTTGTGATGATGTAGGACTTCTAATCGAACACATCAATTTAGTCCTGGCTGGGCCCAGCACATAAGTCAACACCAAATCATCGAGGGGCCCACATATATCGCTTTTCCTGTTAGGGCAAAAGGAACGAATAAACGTTGACTCATATGCTTGTATCTTTTACTCATCAAATTATACATGACAATACGTTTTATAACACCAAGTTACTGATGCGTTTTCGTATCACCAATGCATACCGACTTGTAAATTACAACTCATATATCTTCGTTTCAAGATTATAAGATATTATCGTCTCAGTATTACTCGTGATGAATTCCATGAAGTGATACTCTGAGCGAGGGTTTATCCAATACTCAAATCTCAATTTCTGAGTACTCATGAACATTGCAGCAATTCTATTGCCATGTCTATCCTTAGACAATCTGCAATCCAATTCATGACAGTCTTAATTCACTACTTACTTCCAAGAGTACGAGCGACTGTGGAGTTTGAATAATCTCATTATTCAGGAAGTAAAACATGCAAAAATGAAACACAATAATAAACAATTGACAAAAGGTAGTAGCCAAACTTATAAATAATACTTTATTATTTAATCACCAAAAGTCAATTACATTTACTTTGTTACAAGTTTCAAAAACTAATCTAACTACTAAAACTAATATCATCTTTCAGTCCTATGCTCCGAGCATGCTGAATATGCTTAGCCCTACTCAGACCCTTTGTGAGAGGATCTGCTGGGTTATCTTCAGATGACACCCTCTTTACTATAAGATGGCCTTCTTCTACTCTATGTCTGATGAAATGGTACTTTCTGTCGATATGTCTGGTCTTACCATGATCTCTCGGTTCCTTTGTCAAGGCAACCGCTCCTTCATTATCGCAGAACAGTTCCATAGGCTCCTGGATGGTTGGAACAACTCCGAGATCCCGATGAAGTTCCTCAACCAAGCTGCTTCTTTCGACGCTTCACTTGCTGCTATGTACTCTGATTCACAAGTAGAATCAGCCACCGTATTTTGCTTGGAACTCTTCCAAGTAACTGCTCCTCCATTCAGTAAAAATACCCAGCCCGACTGAGAACGGAAGTTATCTCTATCCGTCTGAAAGCTGGCATCACTGTAACCATCTACTCTCAAAGTATCACTGCCACCAAGCACAAGAACCCAGTCCTTTGTCCTTCGCAAATACTTGAGTATATTCTTAACTGCTATCCAATGAGCTCTACCTGGGTTTCCCTGATAGCGACTGACCATGCTCAAAGCAAATGCCACATCAGGGCGAGTACATGTCATAGCGTACATGATCGATCCGACAGCGGAAGCATAAGGTACACGACTCATGTCATCTATTTCAACATCTGTACTCGGGCATTGAG